CAAACTTATTAAGCATGTAAAATATACAGCACATTAATATATTATTGTGTATTAATATATATATCATGTAACGACGATATATACCGGTGGTAATCTGTGTCTAAAATCAATGTGCGGAAAGGGCGGAGCGCGCATCAAAAAAATTTAAAGTGCGGCATTTTAGTTGCTATTTGTTTTATTGCGCACATTTAAAAAAAATTTTTTTGTGCGCTGCAGCCCACAATTTTGATGCTGAATTTTAGACACTGGTGGTAATCACTTCACCGACGGTCATTTCACGGCAAGCCATTTAACCAAACATCATTATCAGTTTTTATCATATAATGACACATTACGTGAAGTCGTCGATGAAATACGATAAATTTGATAAATTAATAAATAAACTAACATACTTCCTGTAATATATCTGATAAACTTTGTGATCTAGTTAATATTTTAAGATCCACTTTACATGATTCTATACGTGACGGCGTATATTTATATTCATTATATACACGTTTACAATATCGAATTCCATCTAACCAGGTTGCTAAAATTTTATCAGCAATATTTTGAATATTCTTTAATCTATTAAAAGGAATCCACTCTATTACGTCATCGTAATTCGTAGCTTTAAGTTGAAATTCTTTAATGCAATTATCAATCTCCCTATTTCCACTTGTCCATCTTTGTGTTTTCTGTGTTTTCTGAGGGTCGCATGTTTGACACCATGCTGGTGATGTGTTATATCGTTTGCAATCTGCACATTTTCCATAATATTTCTTTCTTTCAGAACTAAAATCATCAAAAACGGTAAATACTAACATATAATCATTTGTAATTGTGTTATGAGTTAACCCATAAACGCTTTTACTCCCCGATTGCACATGATTTTGAAACTTGTATATATAAAATATATAAAATATATAAGTATATAAGTATATAAGAAATTAACAATATTAATACGACATTAATACGACATTAATTGAACAAGTCTTACTTCTTTTAAAATATTTCCTAAATTTTGTGTTCTAGTTAATGTTTTAAGCTTCACATAGTATGATGGTATACGTGACTGTGTATATTCATCTTTATTATCTACAATTTCATATTTTGCATATCGAATTCCATCTAACCAGATTGCTAAAACTTTATCGGCAATAAATTGAATATTCGTTAATCTATTAAACGGAATCCATTCGATTACCTCTTCGTATTTTGTAGCTCTAATTTGAAATTCCTTAATGCAACCATCGATATCCTTATTTCCACTTGTCCATCCGCGCGTTGTCTTCTGAGGGTCACATGTTTGACACCATGCTTCAGAAGTGTTATATCGATTGCAATTTGCACATTTTCCATTATATTTAGATCTTTTAGAACCAAATTCATCAAATACCAACATATATTCATTTGTTTCAGTGTTTTGAGTTAACCCATAGACATTTTTATAGACACTTTTACCTTCTAATTGCATATGATTTTTAAACTTATAAAATAAATAATATAAGTATAATGTAAGTATAAATATAAGGATAAATATACACTATTAATTTATAATATTAATTAAATAATAAAACCTCACTTCTTTTAAAATATTTTGTGTATTTTGTGTTCTACTCAATATTTTAAGGGTAATCATGCATGCCCGTGTACGTGACTGTGTATATTCATATTTAGATTTACTATAATCAATTTCTTCATGTATATATCGTATTCCATCTAACCACGTTGCTAAAAATATCTCTCCAATATTTTGAATATCTTCTAATCTATTAAAAGGAATCCATTCGATTGCATCTTCAAATTTTGTGGCTTTAAGTTGAAATTCCTTAATGCAATCATCGATATCCTTATTTCCACTTGTCCATCCGCGTGTTGTCTTCTTAGGGTCACATGTTTGACACCATGCAATCCATGTGTTATATCGATTGCAATTTGCACATTTTCCATAATCTTCATCTCTTTTAGAATCAAATTCATCAAATACTAACATATATTCATTTGTGGTTGTGTTTTGAGTTAGTCCACATACTTTAAATCCATTGTTTTTTGACAGTGCATAATCTATAAACTTATTAATATTTAAAAATTAACATAAAGCTATATACATATCTTGCGCAATATCTTGAATTATAACTTACTTCCTGCAACATTTCTGATAAACTTTGTGATCTAGTTAATATTTTAAGTTCCACTTTATATGTTTTTATACGTGACTGCGTATATCTATATCCATATTCTGCTTTATTATTATAATTTACATATCGTATTCCATCTAACCAGGTTGCTAAAACTTTATCGCCAATATTTTGAATGTTAACTAATCTATTAAAAGGAATCCATTCGATTATATCTTCATATTCTGTAGCTTTAAGCTGAAATTCTTTAATGCAATCATCGATATCCTTATTTCCACTTGTCCATCCACATGTTGTCTTCTGAGGGTCACATGTTTGGCACCAAACTTTAGAAGTGTTATATCGATTGCAATTTGCTCATTTTCCATTATTATCAGATCTTTCATTATAAAATTCATCAAATACCAACATATATTCATTCGTGGTTGTGTTTTGAGTTAGTCCATAGACACTATTACCTTCTAATTGCACATGATTTTTAAACTTATAAAATATATAATTATAAATTAAGTATGCACACTATTAATTAAATAAAATGCATATAATAAATTAATATAATCTCACTTCTTTCAAAATATTTGTAATATTTTGTGATCTAGTTAGTATTTTAAGTTCCACTTTATATGTTTCTATACGTGACTGTGTATATTTATGTTTATTATCTTTATAACCTTCATATTTTGCATATCGTATTCCATCTAACCAGGTTGCTAAAAATCTGTCTCCATTTTCTTGAATATTAACTAATCTGTTAAAAGGAATCCACTCGATTACATTTTCATATTTAGTAGCTTTGAGTTGAATTTCCTTAATACAATCATCGACCTCCTTATTTCCACTTGTCCATCCCTGTACTGTCTTCTGAGGGTCGCATGTTTGGCACCAAGCGTAAGATGTGTTATATCGTTTGCAATTTGCACATAATCCATACACTTGATTTCTTCTAAAACTAAATTCATCGACCATAATTTTTAAGATGTTACAGGGAATGTTTTGCGTTATATACTGCATAATATGTTGTGCCTCAGATCGATTCTTGCCTCAGGTGATAACTGAGGCACCTCAGATGTCGATCGTCATATGAGATGCGTAACCTGTCGATCGATTACTTGAGGTGCCTCTGTTGTCACCTGAGGCAATATAATCATCATCTCATCATCAATTAGATCGATAATAATAATGTAATAGCGATAGTAAAAGAAAGTTTAAAATAACTTTAAGCTTTTAACGATCTCTGCCATATTTTCTTCGTCTTTTTTGATGTTTGAATATTTTTTATTCTCTTTTGACGTATCAAATAACCGTTCTTTTTCTGACGTATTGGCTTCATCTTTTGTTCCGTCTTTTGCTCTGTCTTTTTTTTTTTTTTTTTTGACGTCTCTGAATCTTTCTTGACGTCGCAAATATAGATTATAATTTTATATCCAAAGGTACCCTTGATCAAATCCTTGAAGACTATATAACTAGTCTTCTAGCATGCAAACGTGAAAAGGCTCTAATAAATTATGAGCTTCTGAATAAAATAAAAACAATTCTATTGGATCTCCAAAATACATCCCTTTATGATAAAAACACACAAATCTGGGCTAGAAAACAGTTCAGACTTGAAGAAGTAGTTCCTGGTGATTATAGAGTCATCGTAAAGACCACTAATAACCCCGTATTAATCACCGAAAAAATGTATGAAGTATTCTGTCAAACTCACAGTCAAATAACACAACATGGAGACCAGAAACAAACCTGGAAAGTGATACGAGAGAAATGGGGATGGGTGAAACAAGATATAATAGAAAAGTTCGTAAATAATTGTGCTATATGTGCAGTCA